CTATGCATGTGTAAGTTGTTTGCTCAAGACAGAAATGACATTTTGGCTTGTGTGATGTAATACATTTACACAAACTTGTTAGACAAAACCATTCTAGACGGTGGCAATAGTGATTTATGTAACTGTGAGTAAAGACACTGATTTGGATTCTGACCCTGAAACCCGGATATTATCTTCATAGATCTGAAATGAATGTAGAAAAAGACCTAAAAATTCTTCAATATTTAGAAAAGAATAGAATGAAGCTTACTTGAAAAATCTTTAATTGGCCCCTTTGTATGTTTGGATTATGATAAAATCTTTAATTGCATGATTACATACTATTTTTTCCACACACATTCTAGCTCATTCATAATGTGTAATGAATAGTGCATACATAATGAACTATTTTTCTTGTAACAGCTTTTCACCATTGTTCAGTGTGTGCATTCTCAGGACTTATTTGCTCCCCATTATTCATAATCTGCTCTAAAGACATGATGCATTTCATTATTTTTTTCCATGCATCTCATGGGTTTTCCAGGCTACTACTTGTCAGTCTAACAAAAATTCATTAGTTTGTTTTGAAAATATCTCTGTGAGAGAAGGAATAATATTACCTTATATTTCAGACACGGAAAACAGGCTCAGAGAATCTAAAAAAATGTTATCTAACATTCAGTGTCTATTCAAGGTTGTTAAGACCTGCTTTTTTCAAAGCACTTAGCACAATACAGCGCTTTGCATGCTGAAAGTCCCACTCTCACTCAAGTCAGCTTCACCTGCCAAAACCTTGGTAGCAATGTACCAGTGTAAGAGCCCAGAAAATGAGAAACACACTAACTAATGAACCCCTCTGAAAAACAGGTAGGTCTTGCTCAATTTCACATGCACAGTCTGGCAGGGTCTCCAGGTCAGAACTAAATTCCTCTCTCTGGTCTTGCTTCCCATATATTATTTGCAACATACCATTCAACATCTGCAGTAATGAAAACTGCAGCATTAAACACGCCAACACCATTCCGGTTCCAGAGCCCAGAGGATCAAACTTCCACCATTTCTAAGCTTCTAAGTGCTTCACTTGGCAATACTAAGAACCCATTCTATGCCTACAGTCTCCTAGGTTTTACAAAACGGCACCTGGGGAAAAAAAGGCAAAAACAAAAACCTCCATGTATGGTTTTCATACCAGTCCTAACAAGGGTAGCTAGAACCGCTGGAACACTTACATACACAGCACTGAGTGCCCTTGCTACCATTTGAGCCAACATCAGCTGTACGAGACTGCCATCCTGCAAACAGATAAGCCCCAAAAGGGGATGTTGCACTTTGCCAGAAGATTTCAAAGAGATTTACTGGAAGAAGAATGAGGAGAATTAGGCATCTCAAGATCCTGTTTGCCCTTTGCCCCAGGACAGTGATATTCATTGACTTTTCTGCTTGCCACACCAAAACATGGTGACTTCTGTCCTGTTCCGTGAACTTATACGTGATCCATGCCGTCTTCTCTTCCTAGTCCCACTTTAGAAGTCCTGCTTTTCATTCCTAGTGCTATTCTTGTCCCAGCCTCTTTGGTTAGCAAGACCTAAGTTAATTCCTTGACTCTTAACTCTGCAGTCAGAATTGCTTAGTTCCCCTATCTACACTCTTACATACTATGACTCTCCTTGCAGTCAGGTCTCCAGGTTTATCCTTCTCAGCCTCCCAATCCTAATTCCATCCTCATTCATCCAAATCATCTAATCTGGGTGAACATCTCCTCATCTTTTATGCCAATTTTATTTGGCTGGCCATCCCATCTGCACTTGGATTATCCCCTCTGCTCCTCCCTCATCTCCTGTTTTTCCCCGTCTCAGTGAAGGTCATTTTGCCCACCTCTGCCTTCTCTTCCATTCTTGATCAATCAGTCTTCTCTTGCTCCAAGTCCATTTGACTTGTGGCCCAATTTTCTTGCCCCTCTCCTCAATCTAGGTCTTCCTGTTCTCAAAATTCTACTTTCAACGTCCTTACAGAAGGTTTTTTGCACTGCTTTTCTCCTTTCCACATTTTAATAGATGTCCTCATCTTTCCTACAGCCCATGCCAATGTAAAAGCACAGAAAGCAGACAGCAGCGTCACTGCTCTCACACGGCAGCCCGAATGCAGCATCTGCAGGGGGAGCGCTGCACATCCAGTGTGGAGCTTCAGGAAACTCAGCTGATAAAACCTAAATCTCTTCTACTCGGTCTGAAGAGCACAATTTTCTCAAAGGCTTATAATTTTCTGAAGTTAGGTATATTTTTACAGCACCAGCCTGTTCATGGCACAAAAGCTAACCACCTGCTATAAGTTTAACCCTTGGGTATGACTATTACACATTTTATGAAGACATAACCATATTTTTTAATACAAATTAAACATTCCGTCCTGGTCTAAGTCCACAGAAATATGACTACAAATGTTGAAATATGGACAAAAAATAAAGAGATATGGTATGCTTTTACCATACACAAAGTAAGTTTTCAATATACAAAGTGAGTTCAGCAAATTTTTAATGAACTAAATGCTACATTGTCCAAAAGGCACTATTAGAAAAAAAAAATCAAACTGTGCTACTAGTCCCACCTAAAATAACACTAAAATGCAAATTATATTTGTAAATAAGACTTAAAATAAGAGCTGATAATTGCTTTTATAATGTTGCATATAATGTTTTAACCCAAATCTTATCTAGTGTTTTATTTGAGGAAGGAAGGAAGGAGGGAGGGAGAAAGGGAGGGAGGGAGGGAAGGACTCTGAAATGCATATATTTGTTTTTTTTGAAATTTGTAAGCTTCCTTAGTGGTCATGATGCATTAGGAGAGAGCAATTTTTTTTTTTTAATGTAAGTAGATATGACTTGTTATGATATTACTAATTCCTTGCTCCAATTCTTGGATTTCTGCCCCCCGTATATTATACCATAGGAGGATAATTCAGATTTCTGAATACAAAATGATTCAATAGTGTTCCTTTACTGTTAAAAAAAAAGAAGAAAAATATTGTTGCTATCTAAGTAAATATTCCATTATTGCTTCTGTTTGTACTGCGGCATTGCCTGCAATTCCGATCTTCAGAATTTATAATGTTTTGATATGTAATGTTTTTTGGTTGGTTGGCTTTACAGCTATCACAGCTTGGAGATAAAGAGCATTTTCAAAAAAAAAAAAGTATGTTTAGTTTAATACAAGTAAAATATTGATGTTTGTAACAATCCTCTGACTGATATCAAAGATGTCAGAATATCACTTCAAGAAATAAATCTTTTACGAGATACCCTGAAATAAATCGTAAGTATTTATAGTTTAAATGCTCTAAACACACCTATGCAGTTAGGGGTCTAACCATCTTGCATTTGCACACCTACCTATAAAGAAAAACGTCCAAATCCTTTCCTATTTGTTTTCAAGCTCCAATTAAAAGATGCTTTTTGATACATAAGTGCCACCTGTAGGAAATATTGAAGTATGCTCAAGTGCAATCTTACCCCAAATTAGGTACAAAGTTACATATTTCATATAGCCAGTATAGGTGCCTCTTTCAGAAATTCAGTCATGTATGGCAAGAAGCAACGACCTGCTTGGCAGTAGCCTACTGTGCCTGAAAATTAGTTTGTGAAGCCTGATCTACCAGAGATAACATTGTATTGCAATGTCACTTATATGGAAATCTAAATTAAAAATAGCAAGTTTTTCCACTTGCTTGCCTGTTTGACATTATTCTCTAGAAACTGAGCAGTGCTGGCTTTCAGGATGCTGAACCAAATAAAATCTGCTGCAATTAAAATGGATTAGAATTACTAGAATTACTTGGGGCGCAAATATTGAGGATTACATGATCACTCTATTTCCATTTCTATGCAACATAAATGAAAAATGAAACATGCATTAAAAATATTTTGACAAAACAATGGTCTAGCCTTTGCTATAAATACAGTGCTGCCTTTCTTAGCAACGACTTAGGTATGAGTGGATGTAAGGGCATATTCTACCTTCAATGAAACATTAAAGCAATCAAATACAAGGAAATCCTAATGCTGCTATGAAAATAGTTACTGAAAAGTCTTTTCAAGCCTTGCGAATTTCTTGATCATTTCAACAAAATTAAAGGAAAAATAGCATTTAGATTAGTGAGTCTACTTAGATAAGAAATCTCTTGTGAAATATTTCACCACAAAAAAAGAAAAGAAAAAAAGAAAAACAAAAAGCAATGGAGAATGCAAGACTGACTTGTTCTATAACAATTGCCTATAGTAGGTGCTTTCCAAAAATACCTTTATGCCAAAGAGACAGTTCTATTAATGCAGCCAGAGCACAGCATTCACTGACAAGATATTCCAGTGGCTCAGGGTGTTTACCAGGTAACGCAGCCCACATACAAAGCACACAGCGTACGCGTGAAGGGGTTTTGTTTGTTTTTCCGCGTCTCGGTGACAAACGACAGGACGAGGAGAAATGCGGAGCAGAGCACAACGGCACCGAGCCACGCTGCAAGAGGATAATCCCTCGTTCTCCCGCACGCGAGCTTCCCGCTCCCGTTCTGCCCTCAGACGCCAGCGACTCCGGCGCCCGCGCGGCACCGCCTGGCCGAGCGCCGCGGGCTCGGGGCGCTGCCCGCGCGCAGCCGCCGCCGCCGCGCGCGAGCCCCGCTCGGCCGGCGGGAGGGAGGGAGGGAGCCGCGCCGGGCCCCTGCCCTTGCCCGTGCCGGTACCGCTGCCCGGGGCGGCGGCGCTGTCCGCGGTGCTGAACCGCTCCGCGCCGCCGGGGGCCGCAACAAGTCCCGCAGCCCCACGGCGCACGACGCCCCGCGGCCACCCCCGTGGGGCCGCCCCCCAGAGCGACCCCGCCGCGACCACGGCCACGGCCGGGGGGCGCTGACGGCCGCCACTGTCTCCTTCCTTTTGTTCTCGGCGGCGGGAGGGCGGGCGCGGGCAGTCGCCCCGCCAGCCGCCGGGCACGACAGCGGGGATTACCCTGCATTAGCGCGGCCGCGGGCGGACTCACCGTCCCGGTCGCAGAGCTGGATGGCCTCCAGGCTCAGGTTCTTGATGACCTCCTCGCAGGGGCTCGTGGGGCTGCTCATGGTGTGCGCCAGGCGCGGGGCCTCCATGGCGGCGCGGCGCTGCGCTCGGGGCTGCCGGCTGCGGTGCAGAGCCGCGCGGCAGCGCTTCCCGGCGCCGCCCGCCTCGCCTCTCCTCTCCTCTCCTCTCCTCGCCTCGCCTGCGCTCGGGCTCGCGCTTAGGCTCGGGTTCGGCGGGCGGGGAGCGGAGCTGTCACTGCAGAGAGGCGGGGAGGGGGCAGCAGAGAGGCGCGCGCTCATCACACCCCAGGCTCCGCATTTAAAGGCGCCGCCACCGCCGCCACCGACTCGCAGCGGCGGCTCGCGCCGCTCCCCTCCCCCGCCCGGCCGCCGCCTCTTATGTAACGGCGGCAACGAGCCGCACCGCGAGCCGG